TTGGTCGAAACGGTCGAAAAGAATGTGAAGGTCGGCTCGACTATCGTTATGCGCGATTTACTGATGAAAAGATTTGGAGAAAAAGAGGAGGTTAGTGAAACAATAGTAGCGCCAAGATGACATTCAACTGAAAGAAGTGTTTAGCTTGATGCAATGTTGGAAAATCACACTCTAAAGACTATTGCCGATGTTTGGTGCGACATGGACGAAGAGGAAAGAGACAAGTAAGTTTTCCGAGTCGCACACATTTAATCGAAGTTCTGCACCCGAAACAATCGCCTTAATGGAACACCAGGGAAGTAATAAAGACAGAGAAGAATCTGAAAGGTCTCGAGCTGTTAGAATCTCAATTCTTATTTCAGTAAAGATACTGCTTGTATGCTTCCAAATCCATCTGTTAGGAACTTGCGGCAGGTCGGAAGTTTACTTAGGTAGTAATGACCAGAAATCATGGTGTATCCGAGAGTAGCACTACGGAAAATGAAATCAGGAGATTTCAGCCCTATTTCCCCTTACCGAGTCCCTGCAAGTTTACATCAGTAACGAACTGTAAAGTCTCAAAATTTGTGGTGGCCAGGCGATGTACAAGTCACTGTTCTTATCCTCCCAGACGGGTATGGTACCAACTATCCGACCCCGGAAAGATGGAATGCTTGATTGGTTTAGGCGGATATCGATCCGGGATTCGAACTCGTGACCACGCTTGTGTGGAAGTGCACCACTTCCACTACACCACTTCCAGTAACGTATAGTAGAAAATTTAAATGGACATTAAACTAGCAAGGTAGTTCCAAGAAACGAGTGAACCTATTCATTATATTTAACGATTTCGGATGTGCTTTACGAATAGAGCTACAACTGAGGGGTCGAGTTTGCACTTTGCGGTACACGCAGTCAGTTGACACAATGACTCGTTAGGATCGGCTGGTGTCGTTCCTACCCTTTTATCTTCCCGATCAAGTCTATCACAATGGAACCTGGAGGATCAAAAGGTTCGGGTTAGCTACAGAATCCCATGTAGCAGCCCATATTAGATCTGACTGTGGATACATCATGATTGCACAGCTGTGGCTCTGTACGTATGAGAACGCCTGCCATAGATCGGAGAATAGTCACGAAGCTTCCGCAGTAGACGTCATATAGCGCGGGAATTTACCCAATAGATCCTTGTGGGGAGTTCCTGAGGAGCAGCAAAGGTCAAAGACAAATTTTTTGTTCTCTAAACCCATTACAACTCCGTAAACCTTCTTGATAATTCTCTGATGTTTAGGCAATTCATGAAAACGCTCATGGAATCAGTACAACCATTACCAGCCGAGCCATTTGCATATGAATACTACTTCCGTAGGACGTTTATTGACAAACCATTCAATCATTTGCTTAAAGCAATACGCGAGCTCTACAGTGCTCATCAATCACAGTCCGATATCGCGGGATTTTAGTTCTCATTCACGAGGAGAGAGATCATGCCAGCCAGCGCTCTTGCCCCCCTGTCGTTTATGTGTATGCCATGCAGAACCCGAACCAGTTCCACTACATGTTACTACGTCGTTTCTCACAGAGAACCACCCTGTTAGTTTCCCGGTAACCATATTAGTTTAGTCCATATATTCTTACATATATTCCTAATTAATTGTTTTCGCCTTAGAGATTTACATAACCTATTCATACCTCGTTGGCAGGTCTGTATTGTGATTCTGTACCGTTGTGATAGCTATGTTGCCTTCCCTAATCGTGTCTATGCGATGTTCAGAGAAACGGGTTCCCCTTGTATAGAAGAATTTTAAGAGTGTTTTCACAGAAATTGTCATTAAGAGATTCAATCACAGATAGGTAACAGATTATGTTTCGAGAGATAAAGAGTTCTGCGATTCAGAAATGTTCAACTTGAATGAAAGCCCTTGAATTCAAGGCTGTGAAGAACTTTCAAAACCAAAACTTTCGGAACAGGGGTGGGGGGAGGGGGAAAGCTCCCTCTGAGCAGCTACACGATCCTCTTTAGTCAGGAAACTGCTAGGAATCAAAATTCTAGACCTTTTCAGGTTGTACTACATATTTTGAAGGTATTTTCTACTCAAGAAACTCTAGGCGAGTACGGAATCGCCGAAATGATGTCGATGACCTGTTCATACTGAAGTCCGTTTTTGTAGACTATAAGAAATCTGGTTCCAGTTATTCCGGCCTTGAAGTAGTGCAAGGATTTATCGGCTAGTTACGAAAAATTGCTATTAGCGAACA